GCTGAACGCGGAGAAGCTCCCGCCGCCGCCGGCGAGGGGCGACGGGCCCGCGGTGCCGCCGCCGCTGGCGCTACCATCTTTTGCGACGGCGCCGCCGGCGCCGGCGCCGCCGACGCTGGACCAAGTGACTAGACTGGGCAGCCCGAACAGCGCCGGCGGGGACGACCCCAGGAACGACCCCCCGCCCCCGAGCGGCGACGATGCGGCCCCGCCGCCGGCGCTGTTGCTACGGCGGTGCGCGTGGGCGCCGGCGGAAGCGGGCGCGGCTGCCGGAGGGCCGTCGGCGTGACCGCCGTGGCTGGCGCTGCCGATGCGGGGCGGAATTGAGAGCGCCACGGGCAGCTTTGTGACCTCCATTGTTCCGTCCGGCCGCGGCTGCAGCTCTGCGGGTTGGTTTGGCGGTGGGTTTGGCAGTTGGTTTGTTGGTCGCGTTGGCGGTTGCTTCGGCGGTTGGTTCGACGGTTGATTCGAGGTTGAAACGCGGCAGGGCCACATTCGCGCGGCCGGACGCCCTTCGGCGCCGCCGCCCGGCACGGCGGCGCGTGCGCACGCGCGCACCGATGAGTGTGTGCAGGGGGATGTCGAGGCGGGGGATATCCCTGGGGGGCGTGGCTGTGAAGTAGCCAAAGATGGCCCTCAGGACGGCCTGGGGTGGTCGGTTGGGGGGTGGGGTGGGGTTGGGTGGTGATGGGGTTGAAATCGAGATGTGTGTGAAACAAACGTGGACTTGGCTACAAAAAGTTGACTGACTTTTTCTGGTCTATGGATCTTACATAACAGCCTGAGAGTCTTTGATGAGGATGGGATTGGGGGTTAGGGTCGGGGCGGAGCAGGAGGCACGCAGATTGGCAGGTTCAGGGTTCCTGCCGCGCCTCCCAGGTTGTTGATTCGCACGCAGCCCACCACACCCGCACCCAAGACACATCCTGCACCCCGAAAGCGGCGGCGGCTCATGCACCCCGACGTGCGGAGCACCTTGGGGGGGGGGGGGCACGCCGGCGCCCAACCGCCTGGTGTGCCACCGCGCATACGCACTCCCGGGAACAGGGAGGCGGGAGGGTTCAACTTGAACGGACTCAAAATCGATTCAAACAGGGGTGATCGGCGTCAACCCCCCACCTGGTGCCCGACCACGCACACACACTCCCGCAGGGGGGAGGGGGAGAAGTCGATTCGAATTAATGTGAAAAAGACAAAACGGCGGGAACCGCACCTGGTGCGCGACCACGCAGACGTACTCCCTCTCGCGCTCCATCTCGATGATGACCGGCTCCAGCCGCTGGATGACGTCAAGGTACGACTCCCCCGCGGGGTACCTGCCGACGGGAGGTTTTTGGACGATGGGGTCAGTGCAAGGGTCGACTAGCTCAGCCTGACTATGTGACCGAATTTTTGCAATCCCGAAAGTTTGGGGACGCGTTTGTTTCGACATCAATTTGTGCCTGTACCGCCCCTACAACCACCCCCTCCCCCACCTGTACC